GGGGCCCCCCCTCTAGGGGAGCCGTACGGCAGGCTGCCTCAGAGAACGGCATGCTCCCTCGGGGTCCTCCTGTGTCCCCCCTCTGCAAGGCTTGAAATTTTGCAGTACACAGCCCTGGTAAAATGGTTCCAATGTGCTGTGCACACTGGTGGGAGTCAGTGGGCAGGATCCGCCCCCACCACACACTATGGATGCTCTCTACCTACAAAGCTGCTCCAGAAAACCTCTGAGCCAGAGTCCCATCCCTCTCAAATCGCACGCCGGCCGACCACGCCCATTACCTAGCAATATTAGCATCCCCTGGCCAGAGGATAGGGGCTCCCCATCTTTGTACCAGGTGAGCCGGGGGGGTGGGATGGCGCTGGTGTCACAGTAGAGCGTAGTGGGGTTGTCAAGAATAGCCTGTCGGTGCTCTACCACCTCCCCGTCCTGGTCTTCCTCCCTGTAGAGGATCTCAAAGGCTTCGTTGGCACTCCCTGGCCTCTGGAACAGCGGTGGCACTGCAGGGACAGCGCTGCAGTAAGCTGCAGAGAAGGGGGACTTGCATCCCCCCAAGTGCAACCGGAGCACCTGACCCAGGCCTAACCAGGACTAAGGAGATACTATTTTCCAGCAGACACGAACCCTGTTCCTGCTTCCCTCGGTGTTCTCCCACAAGGGACCCAACTAAGGGCCCCTCATGCAGAGACCCACTTATCTGGGCACAGGACGTCTACTTGGGGCTGGTTTCCTGCTTCAGCTCACCTTGGATGTGCACATTGAAGTCCTTGTCATCTTCACCTACGACATTGGTAGCAACACAGGTGTAGTGCCCCGAATCCGAGATGCCGGCTGGTTTGATCTGAAGGACCTTCCCCTCATTGAGGAGCTGGAGGTGACCAGCACTTTCCAGGAGCTGATGTGGGAACCCCAGCCCCAAAGGAGGACAGGAAAATAAAGAAGGGAGGAGGGTTACGCATCAGGACTGAAGCATCCAGAAGCAGCACAGAGACTACCCAGGCTTATAAAAGGTATGTTCCCCCTCTATCCACCTCACAGAGTCTCCAAAATGAGCAGCTCCTTCCTGCCTGTGGTTAGGGCCTCACCTGCCCGTCCTTGTACCACTGGATGGTCGGCTCGGGCACAGCCCAGGACTCGCACTCCAGCGTCACGGTGCTGTTGACCTTGGTTTTCACTTCCGTCACAGCAAATTCCCCTGAAGGGTCATCTTTGGCAATCCAAGGAGGAACTGGTGGGGAGACGCGGCATGGCTGGGATGAGAGAACAGCCCCCTAATGACCTTGCTCTGCCCTAATCTGACAGGCGCACCGACAGTCACAGCAACAGGCAGCACCTCAGAGTGCCGCGAACACCCCAGACAGGACTCTCTGCCCTCCCCAGAGCTAGACCAGAGACTTTTTGATGCCACATGCCGGCACATGTGCAACAGAGACGGCACCAGTTGCAAGAGGGAAGATGGTGGTGCAGTGGCCTGGGGTGAAGCGTTTGGAAGGGAAGGAAGGGGCAGTATCATGGGTTACAGCTGTGGGGCTACAGCCAGAGTTACACAGGACACTGAGAGCTTACGTACCCAGGACCTTCACAGTGTAGTTCTTTACGGCCTCTCCAGCCTCGCTGGTCACGACGCAACTGTATATGCCTGCATCCTCTTCAAGGGCATTCAGGATCTGCAGCCCATGGCCACCTGGGCAAAGGAGAAGGACTGAGAGCCTTTCCCCCCCCTCACAGCTGAAGCTGACTAGCCCCATACAGCACAAGAGGACATCTTAAAGGACCTGCTAATCAGCTGCAAAGCTGACCTGAGGCATTCTAATGCCCTTCGAGAGCCCAGTTTCCAGGCCTATGAAAACCAGTGCTGTCTCACTGAAGCTGCCAAGGAGGCTCTACCTAGTGTCAGGCCACACAGTGCTAGAAGCAGCAGCATCTGTCCAATGGCCTGAGCCCCTCACCACCCTGGACCGTGGCCAGACCCAGAAAAGGCTCCGCTCCCACCCCTGAGTCCTGAGCAGCAAGGGGGGGGGGCCACGATTGCGCAGAGCCACCAGACACCATTGTGGTACCAGGGAGCAGGTGAACATTTCTGGAGGCTTCGAGGGGAACCTCATCCTTGAGCCAGGTGATGTTGGGAGACGGGTAGGCCAGAGCCTCACAGATGAGGGAGATGGGATTGTTGACGATCACAGTAACATCTTCTATGGCAGCATCGTGGGCCTCTCCAGGAAACATGGGGCTAACTGCAGGGGCAGACACTTGTTTGTATGGCAGAAGGTTAGCATAAGCACCCATTTAGACTTCCTGATGCCTTATCCCTCCCAGAGAACATGACCCAAGTTCAGAGAGTCAGAGTTGACCACAGCATGCAAAATGAGCAGCACGCAAAATGAGCAGCACATACAGCTGCAAGCCCAACTTCCAGCAGACGCTGCCCCCATTGCTGCCTTCCAGAAGCCCAGGGGACATAACAGAACAGGTGCTCCCGATTCCCACCAGCCACCATCAGAGATGGACCCTGGACTAGAGGTCCTCTCAGGCCCCTCCAAAACAAGTCTTATGAGGGTTTTGTAACTGGCCCAGGACCTCATTTCATGCTGCAGGCTGCGAGGCTTATAGATCTTCACCATCTACCTGGGGCAGACCTTTAAAAAGCCCTCTACATCCATGTGCCCTACTCACACCCAAGAAGCTGCACCCTATCCAAAGGCCTTCTCATACCCAAAACATTTAGCAGGTAGTGCTTGGTCTGATCTGCCACAGAATTGGAGGCCACGCAGGAATAGCGGCCAGCATCAGAAAGGGCTGCCTGAGTGATGTGCAGTGTGGACCCATCAGGGGAGATGGAGTACGTGTCTCCGCTAGTCACAGGATGGCCGTCTTTCAGCCAGGTGATCTTAGGCTGGGGGTTGCCTGTGCAGAGCAGAAAGCAGGTTTCAGCCTTTGTGCCAAATTTTTCCACTTCTGTGTGCGGTGTGGGTGGGGTCACTAGGCTGGCACTCTGGAGCTTTTGTTGGAGGCAGGGACAGAAGCCCAAGTCCAGAATTACCGCAATCTGGATTTGGTTCTTAGAGGCTGCTGGATGAGCCAGCAAGAGAAAAGAAAACTGTCCTGAGTAGGAGGTGATTAATTACTCCTATCACCAAAGGAGAAATCAGATTATAGGAATTTTAGCTTTATTTGGGAAAGATTGAAGCTTATGTCCTTGAACAAGCTCCCAGCGTGGGCTCACTCCCCTACATCCAAAGCACTTCCCAGACTGCCCAATTGCAAAGCCAGGAACTATCTCAGGAAAGCTCTTCAGCCAGTCTTAGCTATTAGTGTGTCACCAATTGGAACAGAAGCCTGGGAGGCCTCTGAAAAGATGAATAACTGCATATGGGGCACCAACCATTTGCTCAACGCGCCAAAGAGTTCTTCCCAACCCCTTCTCCAGCCTGTGCGTATCTCCCACTGCCCTGCACAAAGCTCACCTGAAGCCAGGCAGGACCAGGTGATGGGATGACCCTCGGGCACTTTGATGCTCTCTTCCTCATCCGCGCTCTCAACATGGGGAGGAACTAGGAACATAAGCCATCACGGATCTCAGCAGCCATCTAGCCTCACCAGGTCAAACAATAGCCTCTTAGCTCACATGCTAAGGCACAAAAGACTCAGGAACTGCAGCTCCCAACAACATGCCCAGTCTTAACTCTGCCTGTTTGTGCAAGGGCGAAAGCTCTGATGCCCCACCAGAAGTCCTGCAGCAGGCAGAGACATCCCCTCCTTACCAAGGACCTCCACATGGAAATCCCTCCTGGCCTCCCCAGCCACATTGCTGGCCAGGCAGGAATAGAGGCCTCCATCCTGGGCTCGTGTGCGAGTGAGCCTCAGCATCCAGCCACCTGGAAACGCGAAGCAAAGAGGTCTCAGAGTCCTGATCCAGGGCATCTGCTCATCCTAGCAGTGCTCCTGCACTGTGGGAGCTCTGCTGCATTTAAACACATCAGCATTAGGGCAGAATGCAATCCCAGCACTCTCATCCCTCACCGTGTCCAGCATTCATGCCTCACCTGAGAGCACACGCGTGTGCTTGCCAGGGATGACAGGAGAGTTGTTCCAGAACCAGGTGACAGTGGGTGGGGGAACACCAGAGGCCTCGCAGGTCAGCGTCAGGGCTCCATGCAGAGACACACTGATGTTGGTTATTGATCCTGATCCTTGAATGAACTCAGGAGGAACTGGATGGACAGGAAAGGATGAACATCCATTTGCAAAGCAGCCTCCAAGAGAGCAGAAGAGCGAGGCAAAGGGGGCAAACTGAGAACTCTACTTGTTCCCATCTTCATGCCTGCATAGTCTGAGGACAAAAGCCCAGAAAGACCATTACCATCTCCTGAGGCTGTAGACTTCAGAGGTGTTATGGGACAGGAGACCCATAGCAAGTAGGTGCCATCTCCCTGCACACCCAAACCCACGCTTACAGGCGTGACACCAAGACAGCCACATGCCCTGAGCAGCCTCATTCCTTTTCCAGCTCAAGTGCTTGGTTCCTTGAGTCCTTGGAAAGCAGATGACTGTAAAGCATGAGGTGGTCTTCTTTGCTGGCACCAGAAAAAACCTCCTACCACAGACTGAGGGAGCCACTTTTGCCACTACATTGCCTGGAGCTTCTCCCTCCTATCCAAAGATCCTGCTGCCTCTCAGCTTCTTGTCCGCTCTTGGGCTCCGCCAGATGTGTGGTGGAGCATCACAAGCCCTCTCAAGCCTGCCTGCTTCCACATACCCCAGCAGCGAGCCCCTGCCTGCATCCTTACCATGCACGGACACATCAAACTCCCTCTCTTCCTGCCCCACCGCATTCGTTGCCAGGCAAACGTAGTGTCCCGAATGGGTGACCTCCGCCTGTGGGATGCGCAGTCGCCTCCCCTGGTCTGTAAGGAGAAGCCCGTCCCCATTCACCACAGGCTGCCCGTCTTTCACCCAAGTCACTGTGGGCGATGGTGTTCCCACGGCCTCGCACTCCAAAACCGTCTCACCAGCCTTGACCACAGAAACCTTCCTCAGGGCTTTGCTGCTGCCTCGGATCCTCGGCAGCGCTGTGGGCAAGAGGGACACAGGGCAGAGGCGATGCTGTAAAAACTCCCCTAGGTCTATGTAAGCAGATATAAAAGCACCATCGATCTATATGGTGGCAGCAGCAGCAGCAGGGCAAAGCAAATCCAAGTGGGTGCAATTAGTGCAATTGGGCTGCCAGAGCAAATACAAGCTGACCAGCTTGGAGCCAAGAAAGAAACTGGAGGGACAAAGACAACCCATTTGGCATCATGCTTTCCAGGAACACCAAGGCAGCAGACAACGGCCATGAACGCTCAGGTCCAGCCGGACCCTGGATTGAAACAGATTGTGGCTTGCTCAGACACACAGCTTAGGAGAGGCAGGCCTCAGTGCCAGAGCCTAGGCATCCACATGCAGGAGCATCTGTGGCTGCTGGTGCAGAGCCCTGAGTCTTCAGCACCTTCCCCAACTCACCGTGCACCCCTAAGTGATACTCCTTGCTGCTGCTGCCAGACCTTCTCAATGTAGAGCATCCTCCCTCCTGCAGAGACCAGCTCCAGGCTCCCTGGCTTGGTGGAGAGGAGCTCACCTGTCCGAGGAAGTGGGAAGACCAGCCTTTTCTCAGGCTCCCAGCAGAACCAGCTCCCTACCCGTCAGCATCTAAGGGATAGCTGGATACTGCTCACAGTAAAGCACCTCTTGCTCCAAGAGGATCAGTGTGCAGTGATTTTATGCTTAACTATGTCAGGAGCAGAAAGCCCCAAGAAATAGGCTCAAAACCAGCTCTGAGATCTAGCCCAGCGTTTGCTAGCACAAGCAGCCCTCATCCTGTGCAATGGGCATCACCCACAAGGATCCCACCTTGGGTGGGTCAACATCTGGAAAAGGTGGGATGAGGTTCAGGAAAAAGACCCTACCGTCCTTCCACCAGGTCAGGGTGGGGAAGGGGATCCCGTGGCACTCGCAGGCCAGCTGGACAACCTGCCCTTCCAGCACCGACACGGCGGCGGGCTCTGCCGAGGAGAACGACGGGGGCACTGCAAGACACAAGAGGAGCAGCTACCTGACGATCAGGCCGTGGGCACAGCCACCAGGATGATGGAGCCAAGTGCAACGCCAGGACAGCTGGCTGGGCAATACGCGCTCGGGGAACAGTGCCGTTGAGCCCCATGGGGGACTCAACTCTGCTTGCTACCCGCCACTCACGGCTCCCCTGGGTCTTATGCAAGCTGCTAGTAACTGGCAAGACTCCACCGCTCTGCACTGGCTCCATGTAGAAACAATAATATTGACTTTCCAGCTATTAAATAGGAGAGATACTTTTGATTGCACGTGGCCTACAGCACAAGACGACCGAGCATCCTGCGCCAGCCACAGTCAGGCCGAGTTCAGGTTGGCCAGACACAGCCTTATTAGGTAGCACTACTCACTGTGAAGGTTAGCTAACACTTTCCATTATCAGCCCTTGTTTTCAGTTGCTTATAATTAGAACGAGCTGGAAAATGGTAACTCCTTCCCATGAGGGATATTAGTTTTTGGAAGAAAAAACCCAACACCCAGAAACGCCCGAAAAACAAAAAACAGCAGAACCCAAACAATCCATCTGAGCCAGGACAGCAGGCCAAACATGCAAGCGTTTCCCTGGGAAGGGATTTTAAGAACAAACCCATATCGGGAGAACTGGATTTTTTCCATTCCCTGGCTACCTGCCTGCAGGACATCCACCAACTGGCCTAAGGCATCCCTGAGAAAAGCCAGGCCCTGCCTCAGCTCTCCAGCTAGCTGAGGACATGCTGCACCGGCTGCGAAGCTGCAAGGATGTTTGACTTCAGCAAGCAAACGGCTGGTTCCCATCTTGGTAGCAGCCTAGGAACCACCATTAGCATCTTCCTGACTTGGGCAGGGGGAGGGAAGGGAGTCAATGCTTCCAGCAACCTCTCTGCTGTTCAAGTGCAAAGAAGTGACAGAGAAGCCCTGGCAATGGCAAGGAAATATTTTTACTCTCTTGCCAAATTTTAGAAAGATAACTTCCCCATCATCACTGAAATCTTCCCAAAGGAAGACTCGTGCAAACATTGGCTTTTTTCCTCTGACACCTAGTCTCAAAGGGGATTCCCTACCAGCTCCAGCTGCATCATTTTGCAGAGCCTTAACCTTTGGGCTTAATATTTTCCAAGGCAGTGAACTACTTCAGCTGCGTATTACACATATATATGCATACATACACACACACACACACACATGTGCGTATGTATTATATTTTCCCCTAATGGGATGCTTCAGCTGAAACAGCCCTTACCCCACACATCGAGGTTGTAGTGATTCTGTGAGTGGCCCAGGTGGCTGGATGTCTCGCACGTGTACCTGCCCGCATCCTGCACGTCAACTCGCTTGATCTGTGGCAACAAGCAATGCTGAAGCACTCACTCTCCCTGGCTTTCTTTGGGGGCAGAGAGTACTAAGATGCTCTGCAGCAGAGCTGGAGCCTGCGTGACCCCTCAGCCAGACAGGGATTTTGGGCTGGTGCTGTCTGAAGCCTTTGGGGCTCAGGACAAGGAGCATGCTCAGGGCTTAGACAGGGCTGAGAGCAACCCTTTCAGCTGTGGTCAACAGGAAGGGAGGCCCCTCATCCCCTTCTGCCCCCTCCCAAGGGCAGGCATGAGGGAGACGAGGGTCTTGGCAGCCCCACTTCCCCTCCCATCCTCTGCAATGCTCTGAAATGTCACCTGGAGCGTGGTCCCCTCCACAGACAGCTGCACTCCTGGCTTTGGCATGAGCAAGTGCCCGTCCTTCAGCCAGCGGGACCCCTGAGGAGCTACCCCAGGAGCCAAGCACTCCAAGGTTGCTGACTGGTTGACGAGGACAGAGATGTTCTGCTCCTCGCCCAAGGCAGTGGGTGGCACTGGAAAACAACCACCCCCAGAGAAGATCAACAGGGAAACGCCTTCCTGAAACTATCTGCTTAGTTAGGGTGTCCTGGCTGCACTGCCCCATCCCACCTCCTTCCCAGGCACCGATCACCAACACTTCTATGCACTACCCAGGGAGGGGACGTCAGAGCAGCTCCATACCCCCCGCCCCGGCTGTTCAAGGGGACCCACAGCAGCCACGAGTGTCACCTCTGAGCCTCATGGCCAGCAGCTGCAAGGAGGGAAGGCAGCCCTGGCGGTGCCTGCAGGTGCACAGGGAGGGCTGTACTTACACCGCACCTTGAGGGTAGCCTCCTGCCTGTCCTCTCCCACAACGCTGCTGGCCACGCACACATACGTCCCCGAGTCCAGAAGGCGAGCAGCTGGCAGGGACAGCACACGCCCCCCGGAGATGATCTGTGCTCCCCCCAGGTCCGGAAACAGAAACAATCCAGATGAGCAGAAAAAACAGAAACGTGCAGCCAGCGGGGCTGCAAGCCAGCAAACAGGAATAGGGAAACAGACTGGCATAAGCCTGCCCTTAGCCTGTCCTTGCTGCATCTCTGCAGGCCCTCCTGTGCAGCAGGCTCACTGCTCCCCTCCTTGGCTGGGGAGCCCAGCCCAGGTGCAGAGTTCATGCTTCCCAGGTAGAGTCCTGGACTGAGCGCAGGGACCGGTCTGGGCAATATTGCATCCGCTCAGCCATGGCAATGTGGTTGTTAAAAGTCAGAATGGGGAAGGAGAACATCTTTGCATGGCCTGGAGGGACATTCCCAGCAAGTAGCTCCGTTTTAGGGAGTCTCACCTGTGGCCCATCTGCCACCATGCTGGACACGGGATTGCCATCCTTCAACCACAGCAGGACCGGGGCAGGGACCCCCATGGCGTCACACTCCAACTTCACCGGCTCATTCACCATCACAGTCATGGGGCTGGGGCCAGATATAATTCGCGGGGGCACTGGGGAAGCCAAAACAAGCACTGAGCATCACCAGAAATACTGGGATGAAAAAGGGAGGGATGGTGGCTGAGGCAGGAGGTACAGCAAGAGTGCCATGATGTGGACCAGCCCTTAGGGCCCAGGCTTTCTGGGATATTAGCTAGGACGGACATGGAGAGGGGAGGATTTCATGACTGGAATCCACTGGGGTGGCACTGCCTTCTGCAATCGGAGCAGAGAACAGGGTCTCCACTTAAACTATCTTCCATACATAGAGAAGCATGTACCCAAGGGCTGGGATGGACCAATTGGCCCTGTGCACCCGTGAGGGGCTGCCGGGGGGCAGTGCCCAGCTCTCAGACATCTGCAGTCCTTGCCCCCCTTGCAGCAGACTCACCGGTCACCTGCAGGCTGTACCAGAGCTCGGTGCTACCAGCCATGTTGGAGGCCACACAGCGGTAGCTCCCAGAGTCGGAGGTCTGGGCACGCTGGATCTCCAAGCACTTCCCACCTCCAGACAGGGCCAGGCCTGGCCCAGCCAAGAGCTGCTCAGATCCCTTGTACCAGGCTATATCTGGAAGGGAAGCAGAGAGCTGAGCTAGAAGGAGCAACACTGCCTTCCCTTTCCACCAAGAGGGCAGCAAAGCAACCATATCTCCCAGGTAGGCGGCCTTCATTATTCAGGGGCACACTATGCTGCACAGCTTCCCCTTACTCCTCAGCTCAGATACCTCACCTATTGTTAGTCTAGCGTGGTACGCAGGAGACAAGGGTTTCAGACCTTGGAAATTTCTGAGATTCATGCTCAACCCTCCATTAAAGCTTGGGCTGTAATACTGAGTTTTCCAGTCAGCCCCTGACACCTTTATTCCCTAACAAGTGTCCAACATCTCGCCCTGCAGCCATTGAGGTGTCCACAAACAGCCTCGGGGCTGGAAGCAGGGACACTGACTTGTCAGGGGAAAGAGGAGCCCAGGGAAAACTGAGGTGCAAGTAAGAGCCAAGGGAGAAGACTGACTTACCAGGAGCTGGCACCCCAGAGGCCAGGCACTGCAAGGATGCTGTGGCGTTCTCCAGGACGGTCACATTCAACTCACTAGGCTCGATGTTTGGAGGCACTGCAACCCAGCACTGGCAGTCATCAGCTCTGCATGGCCCGCACCGGCTGCAGCCGCGCAGAAGGAGATGGCCACGCACACAGAGAGCTTGCAGCATGCCCTTGGTCTCGACAGAGCAACGGGCTGGGAGTCGGATGGCTGCACTTGCTCCCTGCTCTGGGACTGCGACGTGTTGGATAGAGCAGCAGAGAGGACACCCGAGTCCCTGGCTTAGCTCTGCCCCGGGTGGGTGCCCAGCCCTGGACAAACTGCTTTGTCTCACTCTCTTTTGCGAGGGTTCAGGCCTAGTCTGTGAGGGGCTGCAGGATGGCTGGCAGGGGTGCACCTAGCTCCCGTGCCATGCCACTGCTGCTCACCGAGTCAGCCTTGCTAGCCGAAGACCAGCAGGGAAAGGATCAGGATTTATGGCCCTGCTTCCCTGGGTTGATTTGTCCCCCGGGAAGAGATATTTCATTCTGGCAGGATCTCAGCTCCCTGCCTGGTTTCTCACCTAGGACCTTCAGCATCACATCTTGCTTGTCCTCCCCAGCGGGGTTCACTGCAACACAGGAATAGACTCCTTCATCCATCAAGTCAGCCTTCTCAATCTAGAGGCAGGAGAGGGGATTCCTGATTAGGGTCAGTCACACACAAGCCCAAACCAGGTCCCCTCTGCTGAAAACAGGAGCAGGGGACCTTTACTCCCCACTCATTGGAGCCTCACCTACCCCTCCAGAACCCTTCACAACACCTCTGATGTGGCTTTCCAGCTTGGCTTTCCTACGCCTGCTATCCCAGGGCTGGGTTTCTCCTCCAAACTTTTGGCCAGCCCAGCAGCCAGCAAAGCAGGGTTTGCCCAGCAAGCATGCGGCAGAGGCCTTGCCCATTAGCTGTCGCGTCCTCAGCCCGCTCTGAGCTGGGAGGTCTGCATGCTCCAGAGAATGCAAAACCCTAACGTGACATCCCACCTGCCCCGTCCAAGGGGATCTATGTGCCCCATCTTGCCAGGACCAGTGCTTCAGCTCAGACCCTGCCATAAAATATCCCGCAGCACACAGCTCTGCATCAGCACTTCTGTATTTGACCCTGGTCCCAAGCGTAGCCTCCCTACCTGGAAGAAGTGGCCTGTGGCTGGCAAGAGGACCCCATCCTTCCACCAGCTGAGCTGCGGAGGTGGTGTGCCAGCGGCCAGGCACTGAAGGGTCACTGGCTGCCGGAGGGCCACGCTGAGGCCCTTTCCCTCCATGATGCTGACCGACGGGCGCTCTAGCCAGGGGAGGGAAAGATAAAGTGGGGCCGGGGAGATTTCTTCTACCAGGAAGCATCCACGAGTGCTTTCCATTCCTTTTCCCTGTTTCCCCCTTTGACCAGCCACCTCCTCTCCAGCACACAGGAAGCGTAGCGAGTCTCTCCCCACGTGCTCTGCTCACCTTGCACTGATACCTGCACCTCTGCCTGGGCTCCACCAGCCTCGTTGCTGCCCTGGCAGATGTAGAGCCCTTCGTCGTTGAGCCTTACGTGGGGAATCAGCAGAGTCCTGCCGTCCTCAGACACCACTGCTCCGTCCAGTTCACCCAGCGGGTGGCCGTTCTTCAGCCACCTGCAACAAGGGGAGCAGGCAACAAGTCCTCAGCCCACCCCCTGTTTCTGCCCACCAAAGAGGAAACTGGTGTACAGCAGGGTGCTAACAGTGAGGACTGTGTGAGCATCTCCTGAAAAGGGGCTGGCAGTGCAGGATCCTGGAGGCAAGGAACAGAAATGAACGCCTCCCTTTACAAAGTCATTGCAGGAAGTTTTTGTCCAGCTTCTTCTGAGGGATATTTCCCTCTCTTTACTGGATATATCCCCTGGGGATTGGTGAGGAGGTAGTGGGAGATATTTCCAAAAGAAGAAGCTCTGCGCCCTAAGGGACACTCCAAGCCAGGGGTCCCCATTGCTCATCCTGATCCCCTTCTCAGTCACTGGCACAGCTTCATATGCCCAGCTGTGGAGCATCCCCAAGACCTTACACAGTCCCTAAAGGGAGCTCAGGGAGATGGAGGCAAGTTCCCCCCAGCTGTTCTGCGGTACTCACTGGATCTGGGGTGCAGGAAAGCCTGTGGCGTGGCAGTGAATCTGCAGAGAGTCATTGGCAATCACCATCAGGTGGCTTTCCTCATCGCTGATCAGCAGCTGGGGGGGAGCTGGGGGGGGGAAAGAGGACAACAGGCTAAAGACCACCCTCCACCCAGCCTTGGACCCTGGCATAGGACAGGATGCTGATCTAGGAAAAAGGGGGTAGCTAGGGGTTTGGAGGGTACAGTAGTACTCACAGCAGCTTGGAGCTGAGTTTGACTTACTGCACGCTTCTCTGTTCTCAAAGAAGCTGAAGTTTTAGGCCACCATCTTTGCATCCCCCTCCCTCCGCAGATGATGCGGTTAGAGGGGCAGATCTGGCTGGTCCATAAATCACTGTGGGCCCCCCCTCCAGCCAACCCAGGCTCTGCTGCAAGAGTCCAGACACTGTACCCTGAACTACCACCGTGTGCTGGACCACACTGTCGCCTGCCGGGCTGCTGGCTAAGCAGGTGTAGATCCCTGCTGAGCTCTCCGAAGCCTGTTCAACCCTCAGCAGCATGCCACCTCCCAGGAGCAGGGTCCCAGCGTCATCAGACAGTGGGACCCCGTCCTTAAGCCAGGTCAGGACGGGCAGGGGATTGCCACTGGCCGAGCAGAGGAGCTCCAAGGGCTGACCCGCCACCACCACATGATCTTCATCAGCCATGCCATCAACATTCGGCGGCACTGCAAGGGCAGAGGAGACAAAGGGAGTGTGAGCGCAAAGTACACAACTCAGATGCTATGGCTTTGTCTCCAAAGCTTACGGTAGTAGCAAGGGAGGCCCTGGGGAGCCTTGGGTGCCCATGCCATCTCCAGTTGGGCCAGGCTCCATCAGGGAACACCAGGACACAGTCCACAAGGCTCAGCCCGCAGGGAGATGGCAAGTTGGCTCAGCAGAAACTCAGAGTCACAGGTGAACCGGAACAGCCAAGGTCACTGGGGAAATCAGCTCCTAAAGCCAGCCCACTTCCCAGCAACAAGTGATATCATGCAGTGCATTTGCCATTTCACAGATCATCCCAGAAACACACATTTACATCTGCACTAACATGACTGAATATAGCCAACAGCCACCATAAAGCTGCTGAAGAGGAGACCAACAGAAAAAGGGCCTCTCTGAAAAAGCAAAGCACCAGCCAATGAGCCGTGAATGCTTCCTAGAGGAGCTGCTCTTGACAGCCAGCTATCTTCCTCTTTGCAAGCACATTAAGTGAGGAGACTGAGCCTTACCATAAACCTCAAGCCTCACAGCCCTCTCCGCTGTGCCCACAGGGTTGGTGGCCCGGCAGGTGTACAGCCCCGCATCTGTCACCTGGGCCGCGGTCAGCTGCAGGACACGTCCCCCTCTCAGGTAGGTGGTCTTTGCGCCGGAGATGAGAGGACGCCTGTCTTTGAACCATGTGATGCTGGGAGCCGGTGAGCCCTGTGCCTCGCAGGACAGCTCGCTGGAGTGATTCAGCAGCACCACCACCTCCACTGTCTTGTTAGAGTCCAGGATGAAGGGGGGAGCTGGCCACGCAAATGCAGGCAGAGATGTGACATGGGGAGATCCTGGCCCACTGCCTGAGGCTATTTGCTCCCAAGGGCCTCAAAATATAACTCAAAATACCTGTATTCCCCCATGCATTGAAACCTACTGCCCTAAAAGCTACCTTACTTTACCGCATCAGGCTGTTTGGTGCAGAATCCTTTACGTGGGGGCAAAATCCACCCACAAGGACAGGTATCCTGGTTGCCTACAGCACTGGCTTGTCTACCCCAGCCCAGCCATTCCCAAAGAGGACAATATCCCACTGTCGTACACTGGTGAAATCCCCTCCCATCTTCCCCAGAGGCAGCCAGGAAGGTGAAAGGTTTGGGGAGCTGGATGTGAAGGAGGATTATTACACTAAGGGCAGCCAAGCACTTACTGAGAACGTGCAGTTGGAAAGCCTTGCTGTGCTGGCCAGCTTGGTTGAATGCTAAGCACTGATACCTCCCTTGGTGTTTTGGCTGGCTATCCTCGATCCTCAAGACCTGATCCTCTTCCAGGAGCTGGATGTGAAAGTCCACAGTGGGGAGAGGCCTCAAGGGAGAAAACGGTACAAAAATGAAGTCAGAACCAAGCATACAACAAGGGATGGAGTCCACAGGGTACGGAGCAATGGTACGAGGTCTTAGGAGTGTCCTTGGAGCCTTGGCCACGGCTCACTTACTGCCCATCCTTCAGCCACTCCACCTGGGGCGGGGGCACCCCTGAGGTCCGACACTCCAGCACTGCCTCGGAGCCCACCAGCACAGAGACGTTGTGAGGCCACCAGGGCCCTGACACTGTTGGAGGGACTGGGGTGCGGGAATGAAGAACAGAGGAGACTGAGCAGGAGGAAAGCACAGCTCCCCGCAAGCCACAAAGACCGGGGACAGGATGGTCAGATGGTACTGGACATGCTCGGGTTCTGCCACCCTCTTCACATCTTTGTGCTATTATCATAGGAAATAGGGAAGTAGAACGGGTACAGGAGATAATAGTAGGTTCAATAGTAGAGCAACCACCCAGGACCTCCTACCCATGGCCAAATCCAACAGAGACCTGCACTTGAAGTGGTGCAGAGCACAGGGACCTGCTAGTTTGTAGGGTGAGCATTTGGAGGGTCACTTTAACGAGTGCCTTACTATGCTGGGGCACGGGGTGACAGGGCACAGAAACTCCAAAGGGAAGGGAGTAAAGTTGTACTCAGTGGCCCCAACCTACCCTGCACATCTCTGGACTTCAGGAGAGCCCAGATAGAGGACTATTGCTCCCATGTGGGGCCACTTGCACATTAGAAGTGGACCAAGGGACCAGGACCCACCCCAGACTGGTCAGCCCCTGGCCAGCCGGCTGCACAATTTGTCCCTCCACTCTTTGAAGCCCTTCCTGACCCCATGGGTGCTCCTGCTGGATGCAGGGGGACAGGGACCTGAATCACCTAGAACAAGCAGGGTGAAGTGTCTGTGGGCCTCTCCAACCCTGTTCTCAGCTCTGCAGGTGTAGGACCCCGCATCCTCCTTCTGCACCTTGGAGAAGCGGAGGGCCTGGGCCCCATGGAGGAAGTGGAGGCCTCTGCCTTCCCCCACCTGCAGAAAGAGAGGGAGGGAAGGAGGCGTCAAGGACAGCTATTTGCACCCCAGAAAGGCATGAGGCTGTATCTCATCTTCCAGGAACTCACCAGCTGCCCATCTTTGTACCACACAACGGTGGGGACGGGGGTGCCGGAAACATTGCAATTCAGCGTCAGAGCCTGGCTGGCCACAGCAGAAATGTTCTCCTGCAGGCCACTTCCTGCCATCTTTGGTGGGGCTGAGGGAAGGCAAGAGCGATGACATCGCTGGGGACGCAAGATGACTTTTGGCTTCTTTGCTGATCTGCCCCCAGGTCCCCACATGCAGACGAGAAAATAGCCAGTTTATCCCACCACCCAGCCCCCACAGTGGTTCTCACCACTTATGCAGCAAGGATAGTGCTCATCCCATTTGGGCACATGGAGCACAACCCAACCAGGGGCATCTGATCTAGCCTGGAGGCCTTACATAGGAACAGTCTCCCCTGCTCGGACCCAGGGTGGGCCAGCATACCGTATACCAGCAGCCTGGTTGTCCGGCTCACGGAGCCCACTTCATTGGTTGCCAGGCAGGTATAATCCCCACTGTCGCTGGGCTGGACAGCTTGGATCGCAAGTGAGCCCTCATCCAGCACTGCAGCGCCCGGCATGGTGCCCAGTACCTCCACTGAGTCCTTCAGCCAGACAACAGATGGCATGGGGGTCCCTGTGTGAATGCAAGGCAACGGATGTTCACATGAACACCCCATGTAGTACCAGCTATAGGTGCCCTATCTCCCACCAACAGGTCTCTCCACCAACATCCAACAGCTGTACAACATGCTGGGATGTCTGGAGAATCCACATCGATCCTCAGGACTCTCGGAGCCTGGCGTCTCATCAGTGTGCTGCCTTGCCTGGCAAAGGCTAGCACGCTTCCCTGCTCCTCCTCAGAGATCCCACTGCTGCTTAAGGGCATCCTCTTTCTCAGTTTGCACAGCTCCCCACAGCACGGATCCAGACTCCCCCTTCACGCATACGCGCTCTCCCCTCATCTCTGCCCCAGTTGCCCGTAGGCCTCATCCACACGCGTAGAGCCCCGAGGGCCATGCCGCAGGCATCCCCTGTACAGTGCGTCACAGCCACACGATGGTGCTCCTTATGCAGCGCTGCAGCCCAGCACCCGGCAGCGCCCGCAGGCCCAGGCACTGCAGGGAAGTGGCCTGCCATGTGCAGAGCCATGGCTCCATCAGCCACCACCACCCAACCCACAGACCACTTTTTGCAGTACATTTTTTGTTCTGGGAAAAGTAAAAATAAATACATAAAAAGCAGACTAGACTCCTCATTTCCAGCTGCTGCTGCAGGTTCTGAGGCTTTTCCTTGCCCGGAACAGCTAGAAAGCAGCACAGGCAGCTGGAGACAAGTCACAGGAACGCAGGTCTATAACACGCACCAGCTCTGCACAGGCTACCCAGGCATGATCAGGCGCTTCAGCGTGTTCCTGCTAGCTTTGCACTGATCAGCTATTTCTGCACCATCTACCTGTTACCAAAGCAGGGAGCGCCAGAGTTCGGGCTTGAACCCAAAGAAAGGAGCACAGGAGCATGGCAGTAAGGAAGGAGAGAGGATATGTAAGCAGAAAAGATGCCTGTACAGGATTTTGGCTCATTCCCAAACCCAGACCAAGGCTCATAACCCATCTGCAAGAGGTCTGAACAGCCCAGGAGAAAGGAGACTGTGCACCCAAGGAGATCAAGGAAGAGCCTGCCCCCGTGCTTCCACTCTACACGTTGGAGATGCTGAAGAGGAGACTTCAGGCTCCCCAGAGGAACCTGACGAGCTGAGCAAGAACTATTTTTAAAGGGTCCTTCCTAGCAAAGGGTGTGGAGGAGCCATGCAGGAGAAGAGCATCAGTTGTGCTATTGATCTGCCATGGGGGCAACAAGACTATCTGCCTCAGAAACCTGGGAGCTGGTGAGATGCCTCATTCCTTGCTGGATAGTGACCTGGTGGTCCCCATCCAGACATGAGCAAGTACTGTTGAACCTCCTCCAGCAAGGAATATGTGTGGTGCGCGAACACGGGAACAAGAATTGCTCCCCATTAACACCATCCCTAATGAAGGGTGGGGGAGAAGGACACCAGCTAGCCCATGGACAAGTATTTCCCACGTGTACAGATCAGAGGATGGGATGAGATGCACCCTCCCCGCCGCAGAGTCTCTTACCCTTGACGGGACACGCCATGGTGACATTCTCACGGAGAACCCTCTCCAGCAGCGCCTCTGTGCCATCCTCCAGATACGGGGGCTCTGAGGGAAAAAGTCACCCTCGTGCAGGGTCAGCAGGGCCCCACCAGCCCAGCTCCTTCCTTGCCTCGTGGGGCTGGGTGCCAGGGCTCTGGCCCCAGCAGAAGCCCCCCTGGGGCAGCACAACACCCGGCACTCACCCAGGACTTCTACAGCCAGTTCCACAACATCTTGCCCTGCGCTGCTGCTGGCAATGCAGCGGTACCGTCCCGAGTTGGAGACCTGCACGTCCTCGATGCTGATTGTCCCGTCGGGCCCCTCCAGGGAACCCCCCTGGCCCACACTCAGGGGGTGGCCATCCTTGGACCAGCTGAGGTGGGGGATGGGGTCCCCATGAGCCACACAGGGCAGCTCCAGATGGAGACCCGCCAGCACCCGAAGGACCTCGGGCATGGGGCGAATTCGTGGTGGGACTGGGACAGAAAGAAAGGAGGGGAACACTGCATTGAAAAGAGAAGTAGAGAGCCATGCCCACAATCTGCAACTCCCCAAGGCGACACAACGGCCATTACACACTCTCAGGGATGGGAGGGTAGGCAGAGCCCTATTTTGGCTCAACAGTGAAACAGAGACAGCACAGAAATGACAAAAATGTCCGCAGGTTCATTTTGGGCAGACCTGGAAGCTTTCCCAGCCTCCAGTGAAGGGGCTGGCGCTGGAATGGAGTGCACAAGAAAGCTGCCCTCTCCCATCTCAGGCTAAATCATTGTGGGCAGATGCTCAGAGGGCCCCTGCCAGCCTCACACAGTGGCCTGTCCCAAGGAGCTTGGCTTTATGTACAGACCCCAAGGGGTAACAAGGGTGGGAGCACTGGGGAGCATCACAATTTAAGATGATGACAACTGGCATCACTCACCCTCGCTCAGGCACTCACAGGTCTTTCAGAACAAGCAATACGCCTGTCCAAAACCCCAGCGCTTCAGACAGGCCCCCTGAGCCATCCCAGCTCATACAGGGAAGCAGCATGCTGGCTCATGAGCCAGCCGGGACACAAGGGAACGCGAAGGAGAGCGACCCAGTGCCAGGTCAGATGATAGGGTCCTCTGCGACACCAAGCAGAGGTTGATGTAGTCTCTCAGCCTCAGGAGGGCCCAACCGAGTTAACTCGGATAGGGAGGCTAGCAAGCTGGCCACGTAGGCCGTGGCTTAGCCTCTGCAAGGACGCGTACCTTGGACCTCCAGGCTGTAGCTGAGCGAGGCGTTCCCTGCAGCGTTTGTGGCTGTGCAGGTATAAAGGCCGTTGTCCATCACTCGGGGTTCAGCCAGCCGGAGGGATCCCGAAGGGAGGACGCTATACCTATGTGGAGAGGGAACAGACAACTGGCATCTTACCCTGCTGGTGAAGGACTGCCATCTCTTCTTCACCTGGGGCTCTAAAAATTCATTTGGCTTTTCCCTGGGCAGGAGCTAAGAGATGAAGCCTCACCATCACCTGCTCCTGCAGGGATCTGGAGGATCCTTCCAGCTTAGCCCCTGCTTGTGTCAGGGTGGCTTTGTGACAGTGTGTGGGACTGGTATGAAGCCTTCCTCCTACTGTATCTACTGGGGAGCTAAAGGGGAGGAGAGCTGCCCACAGGTGCTACAGAGACAAGGGATATTCAAACCTAGAGAACTCTTGGAAGACAGCTCTGCTATGCCTACTCTGCATGCTCTTCCAGGAGACGATAAGTCCAAGCGCTGGCTGACAAAGAATTTCTGTCATAACACAGTCCACGCTGACAATCAAGAGAAAGCAACATGCTGCTTGGCAGTGAGAAGGTCCACATGCCTTCTCTAGTAGGAGGCCTACTGAGCTGTGCACAGATGCAAAATGCCTTTGCTCAGCCCGTGCATGAGCTCAGCACAAGGCAGCAGCATGAGAGATAACCCCTAGCCAGGGGCTGGGAGGTCATTCCCGAAGGTGGTGGGGGCTCTCCAAAACATTCAGCCCCTGCAGCTGGAGCTGACCATGCTTTCACCCTCAGTGCTGACCCAACATTGTCTGGGCTCTACAGACATAACATCATCTCAGCCCACGTCCGCAGATTCCTCAGTGCGCACTACCATAAATCATTCAGGCAAATGAAGACAGGCGGCTGAACCCAGCAGAGCTGGAGAAAGGAGCACAGAAGAACTGTGAACAGACACAGGAAATCAGATAAACAAGAACGATAAGGCAACACAGTCCCTCAAAAAGAAGAGGGAAGCCAGGATGCTTTCCCACTTCCCCAAGCCACAGCAATTCTCAGGTGCAGAAAGAAGAGATTAACCCCAAGATCAGGGATCCACGATCTTAGAATGCCCCTTCCAGCAAGGTGCTAACATATAACAAAGCAGGTCCCATTTTCAAAGGTTAAACTCCATCTGCTTGGTCACAGAGCAAGACATGCTTGATAAACACATATCCAACCACTCTCAAGGTTGTCTTCTCCCCTCAAATGGCTTCAAATGATTGTCCGTTACCGGCCTCATCATCAAGTGAATCTGGCCCTCCAGATATCAGCTGCTGGAACAGAACTGGGCCTTAAATCCATGTCCCAAGGCAGACAAAGCTGCCACCAGGCTCAGGACTGCACTGCTGCCAAACCTTGGCCTAGGGCCTGGAAATGTTTTGATACCTAAATCCCACAAAGTCAAGAAGCGCCAGACATCTATGTGCTGTTGGCAGCTAAGGGCCTGACCCAGACATGGCAAATGCTAAGAAAGACCCACTGCTACCGAGCACTAAAGCAAAGTAATCCCTTTAAAACCAGCTTAGTCCAGGAGAGGGTTACAAGTGACCCCTCTGCACACACATGTTGGAGGGAGCTGTGGCTTTACAGGGGCTATTCATCACGACTGTACTCCTAGGAACTCTCCCGCGAGACGCTCACTCTGCAGAAGCCCAGATGCTGTCTGCAGGGGTGGGATGTAGCTCAACAGCCGTGTTAGAAAGGGATCGATTAAACACAAAGCAGCACCTATTAGACACCTGCTCTGACCCATCCCTGTACAACTAGCCTGCTAGGTACCTAGTCCTGGCAGCTCCCAGGAGCACGGGCTGCAGAGGACTTGGTAGGAAATTTCCTTCTCAGACAACCTCAGTGCCAGACCTCTCTGCCTTACAGGCAGTCCCCTCCCTGGCACATCTGCATGCTTTAGCATCTCTTCCTGCGCATGGACAGTGCTGCCCCTTCCCCCCACAGAGAAGCAACGTGCCGAAGTGGAGATTCTCCACTGCGAATGTCAGCAAATAGCTGTCTGCTGGAGGTGAAACTTCACAGAAAAGGGCCCAAGCCACACAGCTGAAAGCCAGTGTCTTGCTTTAGTCCAGTGGACAAATTCAAGCCAGCTGCAAAACTGGGAGCAGGACCCAGTGTGAGGTCAGGTAGGAGTGAGGGGGTGTTTGGAGAGCGGCTTCCCGAGCCAGAAGCCACTTTTAGCTGGAAGCCATATGGAGGATCCGCCTCATCAATAGCTGATGGAGACCTGGCCGGTGCAGAGGAAGGCAGCACCTCTGGCGGGCACAGGGCTGAGACCAAGAAACTCAACAGTGGGGGTGGCCAGCACAGCATCCCAGACACACAACACACAGGCTGCAGCACTCTCAATCTCCCTGACGGCCTATCTCCTTCCCCACGCCACTCTCTTCCTCCTTCAGTATTCAAAAAGTTCCATCTCGCTGGTACCCTGTTGCCATCTGGATGCAGAGCAGCAGCAAGTGCAAGTCAAGTACCTTCCAGTGGGATCAGCCACCCCCAGGGACCCGCTTCTCTGCCAGCCTGGGGGCAGACACAAGCAGCCTCAGCACCATGGGATCCAATGCAGCCACAAGGTGCCAGTCCAGAAAGGGCTCTCCAACCCTTGCTGCAGAGATGCTCTTGGCCTTGCTGCAGCGCAATACAACCAGAGAAGTGCTCCCTTTGGCATCTCCCTGATGCATACCAAACTGTTACCATACTTCACAGGCCTGACACCCTTCAGGGTGGTACATAAGGCCAAGAAGCCACAGCCTTACCTCGCAGTGGTGAGAGGCACCGGCTGAGACTCCTGGGTCCATGCCACCAAGGGAGTGGGATACCCTTGAACTTCACAGGGCAGGATGGTTTCCTGCCCCACCACAGCCAGGATGGTCATGGGGCCTGATGACTCATGTGATCCATTCACGCTGATCCTGGGCTTCGCTAGACAGCAGGACAGAGAGAGTGCACAACCGGCATCACAAGCCGAGAGAGTATTGGCTGCCCCATAGCCCTGGCCACCGCATTTCCCAGCCCGCAATCCCAGCCGGCTTAGTCTGTCCGACACTCAGCAAGGGAAAAAAGGCTCGGCAGGCAGGAGCCCAAGGCCATTGAGAAAACTAGGTGAGTTGGCAGGGTGTATTCACCATTGCCTTGGGGCTAGCGCTCTGCCAGCCACCCTCTGGAGCGGCCTTCCCGGGCACTGGCACTTGGCTCAGTCCCCGCCACACACAGGGCACTCACTGCTGACGGAGAGCTGCACCTCCCGGCTGGAGGAGCCTGCTGCGTTGGTAACCATGCAGAAGTAGGTGCCAGCATCTCTGGGAGAGGGCGAAGGAATCAGGAGGGTCCCATTGCTGCCTAGGTGGTAATGGTGGCTCTGCAAGATGGGCTCTGTGCCCTGCAGGGAAAGGGGAAGGAAGAAAGCAAGCCAAAATCTCTCCATGAACCGAGCTTCCCAAATGCCAGAGCCTTGCTTTGGACCTGTCAGACAAGCTGCCTCTCCACTCCTGTCTCCCCAGGAGGCTCTGGTGGAGAGTGCCACCTCCCCAGCAGCCTGTCTGCCTGGTGCACTGCATCCCGTCCAAACACATGGAGCAGCACCTGGCAGGCCCCTGCCGACCGTCTGGCATCAAGACGGTAATCTGCTCCTGCACAGCGCCAGTCCCCTGCAGGCCCATGTCCCGCTCCGGGGAACACGCCTACCTTTGCCCAGGTGACAGTAGGAGGTGGCACACCAGTGGCATTGCACGACAGGGTGACAGCTGCTCCCTCCGTGGCGGTGACAAGGGCAGGGCCCAGCTCAATGCTGGGAGGAACTGGGAATAAAAGATAAACATCCTCGTCCTCAGGGCCTCGACCCCAGCTGCATGGCTGCAGCCACATCTGCTAAAGAGCCCAGCTCTGCTTTGCTTCTTAAGAAAAAGTGAAGCTTGCAAGCAGAAAACTCACCTCCCTCCCCCAAATCCCTCCAGGCACACTTTAGGAGCATCCCACAACCCTTTATTTGTGCATGCGCAACCTCAGCCCTATGTGATGGCTGGGTTTCCCCTGCTTCCTTGAGGTGTTTATTCCCACGTTTCCAACAGGGCTCAGCTTTTCAGGCTGGTCATGCCTAAATGGGAGCAGAAATCTCACCCCAAGTTTTCTCCCTATGAAAACTTGAACACGGCATTCAGTCAAGTCGGCCCACAGACCTCACTGTACTTCCTAGGCTCGGTAAGAGATTGGACTTGCCTTTCTGTCATCGCAGCCAGGAGTTTTAAGTGCAGGTCAGCAGCTTGGCTGGCAGCAAGCAATTGAATTTCACGTGTCCAGAATCAAATTTCATTTGTCCTGGCTAGTTAGCTTCTGCAGGGTTGCCAGACAACAGATGTTTTCTGAGCCTGCTTTGTAGTCACACCACGCTGCCCCGGGGACCATTGCTTATCTGGAAACCTGTGTTCAGAGTTTTCCTGCTCTGACATATTGGAACTGCTCTTTTAGATTGCTGGAAAAATCTCACTTGGTCCAAAAGCTGCAGCCACGTCCTACTTGGGATGCATAGAGGGATGTGCAGGTGGCATTTGTCTCCGTCCCCCTTGCCACCATTCAAAGCAGAGCAACGATGGGCAGCAGGAACAACTCACATCTGCCACTCACCATGGACAACCAGTGACACATCCTGCCTGTGCGAGCCAACAGCATTGGTGACCACGCAGGTGTAGCTCCCTGCATCCTCCTGCGACACCTGCTCCACATGGAGGCTCCCATCAGTGCGGACAGAATAGTGGCTGCCTGGGGTTATCTGCATGCAAGTAGAGACCAGAGAGTGGGACAGACGGCGAGGGTCGGACCTTATCACTCCATCTTGAGTATGTCTCTAGAAACTGGTCCCTGAATAAGAGTGGAAATGTCCTGATGCAGTCAGTGAAGGACCACGTTACCCTTGCATAGACGAGGACCCAAATGGTCTCTTGGTGTCTTCCACCAACAGCTTTGAACCTAGGCTCATCCTGTCGGAGGAGGACACCGCCTGTCCATGTCTGGCGGGAAAGCTGCTGCTGCAGGACCGCGTTCTCAGCTGCCCTCCCACCATCCCAGCAGCGCAGAGCCCTAAAGTCTCACCGGCTGCCCGTGCTTCAGCCAGTGCCGTGCTGGAAAAGGCTTCCCAGCCAGGATCACGCAGGGCAGCGAGGCGGGCTGGCCTCTGACAGTGCGGATCACTGGGGATCCGCGAGCTATTTCTGGGACTGCTAGAGAGAGGGAAAGAGAAAGCAGGATTCCTTGAAGCTAGAATGGACTCTGGAGAGCAGATCTACTGCTTCTCAGCTTTATGAATTAACCTCCATGGTAACCTCCATGGTAACCTGAGCATCCAGCAGGCTCCGGAGGCAGAGTGGCATGGACCACGCAGGGGCCTGCTGCCCTCTCCCACCTGGAGCTATGCATGGAAGAAGGCATGAACAGCTTCTTGCCTTCCTGGACCACACAGCTTACCCTTGCCTCATGCATTGTTTCACTGACTCTCCCCACAAGCCTCCTAGAGTGGCAGTTTTCGGCTGTAGTGTCATCAGACACTTATTTCACAGTGCAATTCAATAGCCTGCTGCCTGCTGTCTACAGCACAAGCCCCCAACGGCTGCATCTGGTTACCTCTTCCCAGCTAAGGAGCCGGCAACAGAGCCTGCTTTCCCCAGCTCCGAAGGCTGTTCGGTGCCGGCAGACGGCCCACGGGGAACGTAGCTGTAACAAGTTGCAATGAATGATCACGAGCCTCTGGATCGCCTTTCTTCCAAGGTCCAGACCTTGGACCAGCACAAGCCCAAAGTGAAATTCTGCTCCTCCAAGAGTTTTGGGATATTTGACCATAAATTGGGTTCAAGCACGTATCAGTGCATTCAGTCAAGAGACTGAAGGGCTGTACTTGAACCCTGAACCAGGGAAGGGAGTTCACACTATGCAGTGTGGGAATTCCCCACCTCCAGCTTGGGAGCAGACATGACAACACAGCTCTGCCGTTCCCAGAGCCACTGACAGGGCTGTCGTTGGCTTCAGCCATGCCATGAGCCTCACTGGAATCAATACACCAATGAAACCACGTAAAAGCAAACCGTGTCCGGTGACTGCAAGCTTGACCTCTGCTCGGATCTTCCCAAACTCATTCTGGGCTTCACAGATATAGATGGCTTGGTCATCCAGTGAGGCGCCTGGAACAGAGCAGAGATGTCTCAGCCAGGCAACATGGAGGTGCCCATCTCCAGCCTCAGCCCGGTAGAGCTGGAAAGCCCTGCAACAAGCTGGGGTTAAACCACCCTCCCCTGCCCCACTGCTGTGCCATTGCATCCGAGGCTTGCAGCACCAGCTAGAACCAAATAACGGAGTACAAATGAGTAGAAGGTGCAAATACGCATACAGCATCAGTGCTTTACTACTGCAAAGGCAGGGCATGGGGGCTAATCCCACTGCCAAGAAAAAAAAAAAAACTAGCAGCAGGATGCGGCTGTGCAACACACAGTGAGAATAGGCTGGAAGAGCGCACGCTTCGTAAGCCCGCATCCGGGCATGCGGGCAGGACACCAGACAGGCACACGTGCAGCGCTCTTACTGGCAATGAAGAGCTCATTGGCCTCCAGCTGGCTGGAAACATCAAACAGCCTGTGCTGGCCCACCATGGGCTTCCCGTCCTGCCGAGACCAGGCGATCCGCGGTGGGGGAGAGCCCTCGACACGGCACAGCAGGCTCACGCTCTCCCCTATCTCGACTGACGCATCCTCTGGGTCCTCGGAAAACCGAGGGGCAGCTAAAGGAGAGAGCAGCAAAGAGTGTCAGGCAGGTCTAAATCCCCTTACACCTCTCTGGTGGATGGCACCCCGGCTTCCCTGCCTCAGGCTCTCTGTGCACCCTCGCCCAGAGAGGAGACAGGGCTGCAAAACCTACAGGTCAGGTCCTCCAAAAATTACAAGATTGAGTCAAAGCATTTGACCTCTTCCAAAGCTATTACACCCCTCTGCTTTGCCTTCGCAATTTCCACACCTCTCCATTATACTCAGAGAACTCCTCTTCCTCCACCTGTTGCGGTATTTCTTCCAACTTATCATGAAATGGGAAAGCCGATATTCTTGCTAGGCATGTGGCACCAGGGCTTCAGGAAACCCAGTGGCAGCCACCAGACTCCTGGAGATAGTGATATCTGCAGCTTCTTGAAATGGAAAGTTTAACAGGAGCCATGTGCTTATGTTGAGCTGAGCTCAGCTCTAATCCACATCACAGGCACAAACCAACCCCAGCCCCCGGGCAAGGAGAGCTGGGACCTGAAAGAGGATGAAGCTGAGGAAAAGAAGCGCTCGGTGAGTCTGTGCTTTACCAGGTCCTGCAGTTTCTCGTGTGTGACAGCGCTGCTATGCAAACTTTTAGCTTCCAGGACAAGACCTTTTGGCAGCTTTACGGAGAAGGATCATGATGGAGCTGGAGCTATTTGCGACACGGACGTGGCAGGGCCTCCTCCCTGACACGGGATTCAGAGCCCAGACACTCTGGATGTCCCCAGGCAACTCCTGCCTGCTCACACCCAGCCTCTCACCAAATCCAACTGCAGTTTTGCAGCAGAGCTCCAGCAGGATAAAATAAAGCTGCAGCAGCTAACCAGCTGCAGCCCTCCCCATGGAAAAGTGCCCAGCAGCAGGACTTCAGCCCCAGGCAGTGCTAAGCACAATGCAGCAAGTGCAACCCCCGTGACACAGCACCCACACCCCCAGCAGAGCTCATGGCCATGCAACACTGGTGCTGGCTCATTGCCCCCAGATCCAGACCTAGAAGGCTACCTTTATTCTCCCCTTTCCAGCCTGGCAGGGTTTGGGATTGCAGCACACCCCGCAAGGGGCATTGCTGTTGGCCCCATCAGCACATGGAAAGCCCGCAGCTGTCCTGAGCTCCCAGCAGGCAGGAGAAGCCCACCAGCACAGCAGAAGAGGCGTTTCCTCAGCTAATGGACTCTTTGGACGGCTGCTCCTCTCTAACTAGCAGCCAGGACCATGCCTTTGCTCCCGCTCCAGCTGTTAGACACACATACCCCTTCCTTTTCCTCACCCGTCCACAAAGGCAGCTATCTGCCTGGACAACCCCAATTCCCTATTCCTCTCCAGACAGCAAGAGGCCAGGCTTTCCAGCGTCAAGACAGGAGAGAGAGCTTGTCCTGCGTCCCTGTCCCCTACTCAAGGCCAGTAGGGATCAGACAGGCTCCCGGGGCAGCTTGCAGCCGCCTCACCTGCAGCGCAGCGGCAGCCAGGGCTGCATCCACGTGGCCAGGCTGAATGCTTTCGCCGTGCTGTAATGGGCTCAGGGGACGGCCCAGCAGTAATGGGGTCTCCTAATGGGTTCGGTCCGTAGCAGAGAGGAGGCGTAGGTCCCTGGGGCTGGGGAGGGGCTGGCCAGCAGCCTTCTGGCCGCGCGAGGAGCGGGGCCGGGGC